ACCAGTTGTTATGTGTAAAAAAGCGGCACGTGCTGGTCTATCACAAAGTTTGTTTGAAAGATTGGTTGTGCTGGGTATTAGACCATTCCGTTTAGAAGTACAATATCGTATGCATCCTGAGCTTTCACAATTTCCGTCTAACTTCTTTTATGAGGGTTCCTTGCAAAATGGTGTATGTGCAGAAGATCGGAAACTTAAAATTGATTTTCCTTGGCCTCAACCGGATAGACCAATGTTTTTCTTAGTTACTCAAGGTCAGGAGGAAATTGCTGGTTCCGGAACTTCTTACTTAAATCGCACTGAAGCTGCAAATGTTGAAAAAATTACAACACGATTCCTTAAAGCAGGTGTTAGACCAGAGCAAATTGGTATTATAACACCATATGAAGGTCAGAGAGCTTACCTAGTACAATATATGCAATACCAAGGTAGTTTACATTCAAAACTCTATCAAGAAATTGAAATAGCCAGTGTAGACGCTTTTCAAGGTAGAGAAAAAGATTTGATTATAATGTCGTGCGTACGTTCCAATGAAAGACAAGGTAAATGATTTTTTTTTGTCAATTTTTATATTACATAATTTAAATATATCATTCTTATAACATAATCTTATTAATCTTAATTTTGTATTATTATAGTATTATTGTATTATTATAGTATTATTGTATTATATTATTAATTTCAATAATCATATGACTTCTGTGGTTTTGTTTAAGGTATCGGTTTCTTAAATGATCCTCGTCGTTTGAATGTTGCTTTGACTCGTTCCAAGTATGGCACAATTATTGTTGGAAACCCGAAAGTTTTATCAAAACAAGCATTGTGGAATCATTTGTTAAATTTTTACAAGGATCGCAAAGTACTTGTTGAAGGTTCCTTGAACAATTTGAAGGAGTCTTTAATACAATTTCAAAAACCGAAGAAAATTGTTAATACACTTAATATGGGTGCACACTTTATGAATACAATAATGGCAAATGCAAAAGAAGTTATTGTACCTGGATCTGTATACGACAGAACTAGCAATTATGGTATTAGTAGTGGTCCAAGTAATTTACCTGGCAACAGTTTTGGTTTGGGTTTCAATACTGGTATGGGTGGTGGAAACTTTAACTCAAATCAGGGTATGTTGATGTCACAAAATTATATGACAGGACCTAGCTATTCAGGCGGACGTGTTCCTGTTGGCAACGCCACACAAAATGCTGTATCCAATTATCAACAGTGGGGCAATCAACATGATTCTATTAGTTATGTTTCCCCAGAACGTGTGCGTGCAACTTTGAATAATATGCCCGTACCTGTTGGTATGTTTATGAATATGGGAAATATGCCTCGTCGCTTTTATAATCAACAAGCGGTGCAAGCTGCTGTAAAACAAGGACGAAACGGTGGTGGTAACGGGCAGACTAAAACTAATGGTTCTAACGGTTCTACTAGGAACCAACAGGGTGGCAAAGGACGTCCCATTTTGGCCAACAGTTTTACAAGCGTTATATCACAAGCTAGTGCGTCACCACTTACTCAAAATATGTCCCAACACGGTGGATTCGCCCTATCGCAACAACCGGATCTTTCTCAAGATTTTGGACAAATTTCCCAAATAGATGTGTTATCTCAAGATATATCAGGAGTAAGTAAATTGAACTTTTCTTTTAATTTATCTTGATATTTAGTTTTATTACAAATTGTGTTTGTCTAATTTATAACTTATATTTTAGGCTCAGCTACAGAGTGATCGTCTAAGTTTGGGCTTTAACAGCCAAAGCCAATTGACTCAACCGCCTTATTGATCCTATGGTTGATTATAACGCTACGTTAAACAATCAACCGTCAACAAAATTACAAAAAAAAAATTTTATAACTACAAATAAAAATTTTGAATCAACTATGCACACAGAACACTGCATTAGCAGACGCTGAAGATACTGAGAGAATACTTGAAAAGCGTTAATGACTTTTCCAACTTTCCAGATATTTTCAATGAAGTTTGGAAATAGTGAAACACATTGAAGGACGCGGTGATCTTGACAAAAATGTACAATTGTGTGCAAATGTGTGCTTTTGAACAACAAATATAAACCAACAAAAAAGGGAAACGGAAGGAGACAATGCAAACTAGAGAATTAAAAACATTAACCAGCCGTCGTTGCAACAAGAATGGAGAGCGATTGACAAGAAATTATAAACAATTTTCTTTATTAACGGAAGTACCTAGCATGAAACGTATGTTAAATATTTCAATGGAAACGTACTTTATGGGCGAACATCTATTCAGTTATAAATGCGCCAGACTAAATATCGTACCATTCCAAACAGTACGCACAGTTAACCAATTTGCTTGGTTGAACCTATGACATTGGCTAAAAAAAGCTATGAGGAATGCATAAAAATGCAACTGAGAAGGAGCAGAAATAAATGGGCCAACACAAAAAAAAAAAAAACAAAACAAAGATTGGAAAAATATGCATAACTGAAAAATTATACTTTTAGACTTTAGGAATTATTATAGACAAACATTCTCCCAGTTGTTTTATGTCACCTTATTAGTTTCTTGAAATTTTGTTTTTCTCTTTCTTCATTTCGCAAAAATCCAAATTTAATTCATATAATTTAAAAAAATTATTACAAACAAATCAATCAAAACAATCTATCCACATTGTTAATTAATAATTTTCCCACAAATAAAATTTAAATAAAAACTAAATGTACGAGTATGTGTAAAAATTTGTTTTTAAATAACAAAATACAAAGTAAAACATTCTAAATGTTAAAGTGAAAAAAAAAGACAACTTTGTGTAAATTTTGTTATTCGTTTAAAAAACAATTTTGATTTAAAAAATAAATTTTAATTGGTAAAACTAAAATCTTGTGATATGTATTCATAATTAGTAAAGTAATTTTCATTGGTATCTTCTCTAACTTTTACTTTAAGAGAATTTCTAGAACTAGAAAAGCAAATTTTTTTTATTTGACGTGCAAATTTTTTAATGTTTAAACATTTATAAGTATTCCTTCGAAAAACATTCTTCAAATTCAAAATAATATCGAAGTTATAGCCGAAAAAGAAGATAACTTTAAACGCTATATTCTGATATTGCCACTTGTTCCCAGAATGGTCGGGTCTACGTTCCGAAACCACTCGTCACCAGCAACGACCAAGTGTCGTTCAATACCTCCCAAAGAGACTTCAGAAGTAGGTCCCAGCGGGTTACAACAACAACTGTTACTAGTCTGTTAGACTAGTAACTGTTATTCCTAGTATTATGTAGGCCGGTATCTGTATCTAATAACTAACAGTTATTATTCGAAAGACAAAAGAATTCAAGACATTACCTGGTACGTCCCACATTGTTTTGAAACAGTATTTTGGTAAAAATAACTATTTGATTAGTTTAATTTTTAACTATTTTTTCCAATAAATATGGCCGTATGACGTTAATGGTGGCATGAATTAACATAACCCCGTAAAAAGCCTAATAACTAATTGACAATGCGTTAAGCGCGCTTTATGGAAAGTTCCTTCATCTTGTTGGAATTAATTAATTTTTGGTAACAAAAATTCAGTCAGCATGGCTCAATAGCGCTCGCCTTCACCGTAACGGCAGCACTAATTACTACATAACAAAAACAAAATGGTATACAGAATAACAACTGCTTCTGATTGTTATTGTAGATAACAAGATAAACACTCACCTTTAGGTTTTAATATTCACTCATTCGAAATCTATTAGTGGCGGTGGCATAACCGGGGGGGTGGGGATCGACTTTTCTGCTATGACGATATGATTTACATATAATCACTACCAAAATAATATCTGCTAGTATATCCAGCTCTTGGCACAATCCCGGTTATGCTGTTACTTCGTGGTGGGGGTATTTGTAACTTATTCGATTATTAACAAATAACCAAAACAATATTTTCCATTATATCCCTTCCTCGGTTCAAAACTCCGGCCGAGAGAGGGATATAACTTATTCGATTACGACAAATAATTACTTGTAGGAAATATTTATTTGATGTATTAGTTTATTCTTAGTATATGTTAGAAGGCAAATTGACATGGAAATGTCACACATGCGGAAAAGTTGGGGAGAGTTATAGTTACAGACCACCAATCGTGCCGAGTGAAAGATATTTGTTGCGACCCAATGCTCCTCCTAGGAGTTGAAGGATTTAATATATATATATGTTAAAGTTGTGTTTAATGTTAGGGTGGTTGATAAATGGCTTGAAAATGATCTGTTTATTGAATCAGATCATCAAGGAGTTTCCTTATTAAAGTTTTTAGGTACTTACCATCATATGAGTTCACAAACTTTGTTAAAAAAAAAAAACATTAATAATGCAAAATTTGGGGAAATGCAATTCTTTATTAAACTTTGGTTAACATAACATTTAGAATGTTAGTTATTTTTGTTAACAACGAGCTGTTGCATTTTTCGAGCACTTCCACCTAAGTTTGAACATTGTAATTATAATTATTTGTGATATTTGTATATAAGGCTCTTAACTGACAGGCCAATCTTACACAATTGTTGGCTGTTCTTTTTTTTGTGCTTTTATTTTTTATTTTACTTTTTTTTACATTTTATTATTTTGCGTTTTTTTTTACATTTTGTTTCTTACTTTCGTTTTACAAAAATATATAGGAATAACATTCATATTTCATTCTATCAAAGAAGGATGTGCAGCTATGAGTCGCGACTTCTATTATAAATTTCTTCTCTTTGTCAACCGGTCAGAGGTCAGGTCAAGGCGGCTTGATAAATTAAAATTAATCTGGGCATAAGTAAACTCTTCAGCAATTGCTGAACGCCTTTAAAGGAACGTTAATTGCTTCGATCAATTACGACTCGATTGATTGTACTCTCTTTACTTGTTACAAATATTGATGATTGATGATTGATGATACTCAAATTAAAATCGAACTCTCAATTTAGATGATGTTGAGATAGACTGATGGCGTTGGCGTTGGCGTTGTTCAGAACTGCACATCCCTTAACAATGGTTTTTTTTTAAATTACTTAAAACGATTTTTACTTTAATGGCATAAAATTTTTTTACATATTATAAATTTAGTTAAAGCGCTGCATCCTAGCATTTACAAAGAAGTTTCCTTCATAGAAGGCGTATACAACAGTATCTGTTGCTTGTTTACAATTGCCAGCAATGCTGTTGACGTTCGACATCAGACTCAGACTCAGACTGTCGTGCAGCAAAACAAAGTTGTTAAAATTCTTGGATTGTGAAAATTTCTTTCTTAGCACGACATATAGCACGATAGAGTCGAACCCTTCATCAACATTGCTAACATTACAATTAAACTTGATTTATTAAACACTTAAAAAAATATCAAAAAAGAAAAAACAAAAATTTACTTTATAATTTCAAATAAAAACTTTCTAAAAAAGTACATAAATAACTCATATTAATATCTATACTAAATTTATCTTCAATTTATTTAGTATCTCAAGCCCATCAGCGACAGAGGCTTGGCCAGTTTTCTTATATAAATTAATGTTGTCTTCATTTCTGACAGAATATTCTTGAAGAATCTTCAAGAACTTAACACATTAATAAATAATTTTTTTTTACGTTTTTTGCTTTAATTTTTTTTAAATATAAACTGAAGATAAATTAAAGTTCATTTAAATATTTTTTTTTGACTTTTGATTTTTACCTTAAAAAAACTTTTTTTTTTAGCTTTTAATTTTTATACTTTTTTTTGAACATTTTCACTCTTCATTTTTTAATAAAAAAATCTTGATAAAAAACTTGTATGAGTTTTCATTTCTTTGCTGTTGTTCTTCAGTTTTGCATAGCATAATTAATTGATAAATTAATTCTGTAATGAAGGGGGGTGTAATGACTTATTTTTTAATATATATTTTTTATTTTTTTTGTTTTTGTTACAACAGACAAACAATCCTTTCCTACAGTGTGTGTGCTGGACTGATCTATATATTTGATTCGACATTATTTTATTTCTTCTTTAGACGTCTATTATACGTGTTTATTTGAGGCATTACGATAACAGGTTGACAGATGAAAATGGTTGCCAAATTTCGAAATAAAAATCGATCTGGTTCTAACTGGACAATGACGTACTAGTCAGCTGCTTCAACTAAAGTGGAACCTGTTCAGTAGCACTACGATATCAATGCTGAAATACTAAGCAGACATGCTATGAAACGGAGTACCCTAAAAAGTGGAGGAGAAATTCATGTCTCACCTTCGTTGTCAAGGTCCATTTTTGGCCAACAGAAAATTAAAAATTTTCCGGATACATTTTTTTACCGACCTGAGACTTGCCAAGTTGTACATACTATGAAACTGAGTCTGCCCTTTAATAATTTTTGTCATATTGTGGCCCTAAAGAGGAAGAGAAATTCATGTCTCACCTTCCTTATCAAGGTCCATCTTTGATGAACAGAAGGTAAAAAATTTTTGGGATACAATTCTTACCGACCTGACAGAACCGTCGTTTTGTAAAATTAGAAACTTTATAGATTTGTTAAGTTGGTGCACTTTCACTTGAATGGGGGAGTTTGCCACCAAAAATAACTAGCAAGAAAAAACTCATAGAGGCTGTAATAATGTTAACTTATTATTATATTATCTCATAATAATTGTTAATAGTACTTAACAGTACTTACGCCTTTCTTTAAAATCGTAAAGAAGGCTGTAGTAATTTGCTCCTAAAAGGCGCAAATTTTGAAATACTGCGGCTCTCATGCCGGAGTTTGAACGGTCATATTCACGGTTGCCACTCGAAAATTTTTTCCTGTACCAAAATTGGTTTAAAAAGGTACCATTTCTGTAAAAAAAGGTCCAAAATTTTTTTGGACCTTTTTATTTTTTCGTTCTGTGTTTTTCATAGTGTTATAAATGAACAAAATATAAAATAGTGCAAAGTTGCACTTATAAAAAAGATTAATTGGAAATATCCACAATAAAGTTGGGTCGTCAAAAATGTACCATTTTTTGAACATGAGTACCAAACGAAAAAAAAAGTACCAATTTTGGTACTAAAGTACCTTAAGTGGCAACTGTGGTCATATTGTTTTTTCTCTCATTCTCAAATTTAAAATTTGCATTGAAAACAATAACAATTGTACTCGTGCCGTGCCCGAGACATTCTGCGTAACATGGCCCTAAGTAGTCAGTGAGAGCCCACATTCTCTACATATCGAATAATTCATACATATGGTAATGTGAAATAAATATTTAAATTAATTAAATTAAATTAAATAAATAAATAATATTTCATACATATGGTAATGTGAAATAAATATTTAAATTAAAATTAAATTAAATAAATATATTATAATATTATATATATACATTAGAAGAAAATACATATAATAAATAATGATCACATTTAATAAATAAATATTATTTTTAATTAATAAAAAAAAAAATAATAATAATAAAATGCAA